GCAAAAAAGATTGAGGAAAATTTTAAAGTCTTGAATAGCTCTTCAAAACTTAACAGAGCCATAATTACCTTTTTGTGTAAAATAGAGGAAAATAAAACTGAATTCACATAAAAATTCTGGACGAGTATATATATATATTCAAAAACCAAAATTTGTTACTTAAAGTGGAAGGAGAAGAGTTAAGCCATATTCACTAAATATCTTTATAGATGTTGAATTTTTAAACTGCATAATGTGTTTTCTACTCAAAAGATTTTTAGAAAAACCCATTTTGTGGTGCAGTCTCTGTGAAAAACAGTATGGTGATTCCTCAAAAAATTTAACAAAAAATATCATATCCAGCAATTCCACTTCTGGATATATACCCCAAAGAAGTGAAACCAGGCATTCAAATGTATCTGCACACCCAAGGTCCTAACAACATTCAAAATGGCAGAAAGGTGGAAGGAACCCAATTATCTATATGCAGATGGATGGATAAAGAAAATGAGACATAAACCTCTAATGAAATATTATTCAGCCCTAAAAGGAAATAAATTTGACAGATGCAACCCTATGAATGAACCTTGAAGATGCTATTCTAAGTCAAATAAGACAGTTAAAAAGAATAAATATTGTGTGATTCCTCTTCTTAGAGTAATGGAATTTAACGACAGAAAGTGAATGGTGGTTGCCAGAGCTTGGGGGAAGAAGGGAAGAGTTAGTGTTTGATTAGTACAGTTTCTGTTGGGAAGCAGGAAGAGACCTGGAAACGGGAGATGGCGATGGTGGCACGGCAATGTGTTTAAAACAACAGAATTGTAAATTACAAGTGGTTTAAAATAAGGGCTGCGGGTGTAGGTCAGCCGTAGAGTGCTTACCTAGCAAGCACAAGGCCCCGAGTTTGAGCTAACCCACCCCCTAAACCCCCCCAAAAGGGAAGTCTGGTGTGGTGGTGCTTGCCCATGATCCCAGCGGTTAGGGAGGCTTGAAGCAGGAGTATCAAAGTTTAAAGCCAGTCATCAGTTTAGCGAGGCCTACAGACCAATCAGTAAACGGGGAAATAATCACAAGAATATTGTGGTAAATGGGGATAAAACCACAGCAATATTGTGCTTTTTAAAGTTTCCAGAAGAGGTTTTACTTAGTACAGTTAACTTGAGTTTGGGCGCTAAAACTTGCGCCCAACGTGGGGCTCGAACCCACGACCCTGAGATTAAGAGTCTCATGCTCTACCGACTGAGCTAGCCGGGCACTGGGAAAATAAAGTTTATTTCTTTATGTTTGGAACGAAATTGTGATTCCAGATTTAAAGTTGGATTTACTTGGACTTTGATAGACTTACTAAATGCCTTAATAGTCTGGAAAATTTATACTCTGCAATTTGTGCCTAACCCTCTCAAACATTTGCATCTGTTTTCTGTTTACTATTAAGGACCTAATCTGTTTACATCCTCCACAAAGCACATGACGCTGAGAAGGAAAAAATAAATGCATCAAGATGTCTCTGGAGTGCTCAACATGAGGATTTGTAATCAGGAAAGACAGGAAGTGCCTGGAGGTCAAAGTAGCGCTGGGGTCCCTGAGAACTCTTTCTTATCCGCGAGGATTCCACATTGAGATTTCATCTCACACTAGTCATAAGGGCAGTCATCAAGAATACAAACAATATAAATGCTGGATTTTCTTCAGCGCTCTACAAACAGGCTGGATTTCTAAATTTCTTGAACGTAGAGGGGGAAAAAAAGAGGAAGAAAAACGCAATTGGAGATGCCGGGGACCGAACCCGGGGCCTCATACATGCAAAGCATGCGCTCTACCACTGAGCTACATCCCCACTCGCTACAATGCTACTCTCACTCCTTACTTAACTGTCACTTGGTGCAGGACTCAGAAAAGCAGACAACTCGCTGACGCGAGGTCCCAGCAGCTGCAAAATCAGGATTCACCTAACTACGAATTGTTTTAATAATTCTAAGTTGACCGTGGACAAACTGATCTCTGAAGCGGGCTACCCAGAGGGTGAACCGAGCCTGGATATGAATCTGGGGGACAATGGTGGTAAAAGAAGAGGGAATCGTCAAAACACCGTGAACTGTGACACGTAAAAGGGAATTAAGGAAGACTTTGTGCAAGGTGTTACGTTTCGTTTTTTTAAAGGGGAGGCTAATGTGGTAAAATATAGAATATTTGAATAAAACAATCTAGAGCAGTAAAATTAATTATTAATTACTTGTGTTGGAGGTGGGGAAGGACACATTGTCCACTAATTTGGATTTTCCACTACTTTATGTCATTGGAATTTTGAACCACGTTAAATCTGTTCAGGCCAACAAAAAGTTTACCAAATTACTCTGGAAACTGGAAGTTCAGCCGTGAACAAACACAGTCAATTCCACTTTTAGATCTCCCATTCCCGGAGGTATAGAGTGCTAGAGAGAAAATGGAGCCAGTTATAAGGAAGAGAGAGGTGGGAAGAGAGCTTCTAAACAGTGTGTGTGGTTGGGTTAAGCTCCAAGGACAACGTGACATTTGAAACAAGCCTTGAAGGTAAGAAATGAGATACACAGGTATTTGGAAGAAAATAGGTGTAAACAAAGGAAACAGCCCCATGCAAAAGCTGTGAAGTAGTAGTATTAATGACATTTGGCTGAAATAAACACCAGAGTTGTAGAAAATGAGGACAAAGTCTCAGGTGTAGGAGTTGGTAACATAGAAAGGGTGAGGCCTTCAGGTTATTGTAAGGACCTCAACTTTTTTTTCTACATTTTTAATTGGTACATTAAAGTTGTACATAATGGTATGGTTTGTTGTTACGTATTTGTGTATGCACACTATATAACAATATAATTTGGTCAACATCATTCCTCAGTATTTCCCCTTTCCCTCTCCTCCTCCTCCTTCTCCTGGCCCCTTTCATCTATTCTACTGCGCTTCCTTCCATTTTCATGAGACTCCTCTCATCTTACTTTTTTTTTTCTTTTTCCTCTCTAGCTTCCACATATTATCGAAAACATATAACTCCCAACCTTCTGAGTTTGGCTTATTTACTTAACATAATGGTCTCAAGTTTCATCCATTTTCCTGCAAATTATGTAATTTCATTTTTATTTATGTCTGAATAAAACTCTATTGTGTATTTATGCCACTTTTTCTTTATTCATCCATTGGTGGACACCTAGACTGGTTCCATAGTTTGGCTATTATGAATTGTGCTGCTATAAACAGGGGTATGCATGTATTACTATAATATGATGACTTTAATTCTTATGAGAAAATACCAAGGAGTGGTCATATAGTGCATGCCTAGTACTTTGAGGAACCTGGATACTGATTTCCATAATTGTTATACTAATTTATAACTCACCAACAATATAAAAGTGTTCCTTTTTCTTCATTTCCAGCATTTATATTGTTTGTATTCTTGATGACTGCCATTATGACTAGTGTGAGATGAAATCTCAATGTAGTTTTGATTTGCATTTCCCTAATTGATAGGGATGTTTAACATCTTTTTTTCATATATTTGCTGTCCATGTGCATTTCTTCTTTTGAGAAGTATCTTTTTAATTCATTTGCCCATTTATTAATTGGTTTATTTGGAGTTTTGGTGTTAAGTTTTTTGAGTTCTTCATATATTCTAGGTATTAATCCTGTCAGAAGAGTAGCTATCCAAGACTTTCTCCCATTCTGTAGATTCTCTCTTCACATTCTTAATTGTTTCCTTTGCTGAGCAAAAGCTTTTTAATTTATGCCACCCAATTTATTAACTCTTGGCATTATTTCCTGAGCTTTAGGTGTTCTATTAAGAAAATCATTGCCTGTGCTTGTATGCTGAAGTGTTGACCCTGAATTTTCTTCTAGGAGTTGAAGTTTCCTAAGGACCTCAACTTTTATCCAGAGAATTGGTAGCCATTGGAGGATTTTGAGCAGAAGAGGGCTGGGATGTATACTGTGAAGTCATTACCACAGAAAGGTCTTTCAAGTCAAAAAGGAAGATCTCAATCTTCAAGTCAAGAAGAGATCACAAGGGAATAAGTGTAAACAGAGGCCCAAGGCCAGAACATGGGCAGAGAGAGGAGCAGAAAACCACAAGGAGGCTAAAAAGAAAGTAGGGAAGACCAAAGAAGGCAAGAAATTTCGGGAAATTTAGTATTCTGAAAGGCAGCGAGAAAAAGGTGTCAGGAAGGAGAGAGCATCCTGAGGTTAGGTCTTGGCCTTTGGGTTAGAATTGCACAGGTCGCTAATGACATCTACAAGACTGATTTCTGAGGAGAGTGGGGGTGAACGCCTGATCCTAGTGGTTTCCAGAGGGAATAAGGAAAGAAGATATGGAAGCAGATAATTCTGGCTGCTCCGGAGGGGTTCGAGGTGGCCTCCGGAGCAACAAACAAGATGGGGGCTGGGGGAGGGCGGGAAAGAATAACAGTGAATAAAGTGAGAAAATGATTAATTTAATTACTTGTTCAAAAAATGAAATAAAGAAATGGGGTACCACAATTATAGGAAATGTAGTTACAGAAGCGGATAGAAGGCTATGTTTGACAGAAGGGGACATGGTCAGGTTCTAGACCCTAAATTTAGCTCGGCACAGGGTCGGCATGAACCAACTCTCAGAGAACCTGATACCGTGGCTCCCGGCGCCAGGCCTTTGCCCCGACCATGCAGAGTCGGCCTTGGTTGGCAACTGGGATGACGCCTAGCTGGGCAAGTGCGTTCACCTGTCCCGGCCTGTTTCCAGATGCTGATTAGGTCAGATTGAGCAGCCTGAAATCCGAGGGGAAAAGCGACAGAGAGGGAAGCCTCTGGCGGAGGTGGGGATTGCTGGAAACTAGAGCAGTGGGTGTATGGCGCGGCCGGGCATATGCATTCTGTGGTTTCCTGCCAGCCACCACCGTACACCCTCCTCTCCCAGCGGCTCCCAGCCGGGTACACCCTCAGCTTACGTCTCCGCCTGCTAGTATGAGCCCCGCCCTTCCTCTCCCAGTAGGCATTCGGAGGCCAGCCTGGGCTGCTGAACTCTGAGCCTGGTACAGAGGCCTCCGACAGGGTCGCCCGACTCAGGTGCACAAAGGGCGCCCATGGCGGCCGTAGGGCCCCGGACTGGCCCGGGCGCAGGGGCCGAGGCTCTGGCGCTGGCTGCAGAGCTGCAGGGCGAGGCAACGTGCTCCATCTGCCTAGAGCTCTTTCGGGAGCCAGTGTCCGTCGAGTGTGGCCACAGTTTCTGCCGCGCTTGCATCGCGCGCTGCTGGGAGCGCCCCAACACTGGCACCGCAGCCGCGACCCGCACGCTGCCTGGTCCTCTGCCCTGCCCTCAGTGCCGAGAGCCCGCACGCCCTAGCCAGTTGCGTCCCAACCGGCAGCTGGCTGCTGTGGCTACGCTGCTTCGGCGCTTCAGCCTGCCAGGGGCTGCCACAGGGAAATGTGGGACCCCGGAAGCTGCGGCCTCAGCGGCGATTGTCCGGTGTACACACCACGGAGAACCGCTGAAGCTCTACTGCCAAGACGATGGGCGTGCCATTTGTGTGGTGTGTGACCGCGCCCGCGAGCACCGCGCTCACGCTGTGTTGCCACTAGACGAGGCGGTTCAGGAGGCCAAGGTGAGCTCGGGTCCCACCCCTGAGGGTCCTCAGGACCCTCAGCTTTGGTCCAGCTCTTCCGCCCAAGCGGTACAGACAGGCAAGATGGAGGGCCAGAAGAGCCCGTGTCTTTTTTTTCTCCTATCCCACGTTGCTCAGCACTGTTTCTTGGGCTGAGCTTGGTTCTCTCCGTGTTGTTCCTGACCACCCTCGGTGCCACCTCCCTCTCCCCAGTACACCGTGTTTCCTCTGAGCAGATACTGGGTAGCCTACGTAACGCTCCCAGATATTTGGCGATTCTTTTCCCTGTCTGCCCCCAGCCTAGCCAAGTCGGCTTTATGGTAGCTGTTCATTTCCGCAAGAAGGTCTCTGTCACACACATCTCCATTCTCATCCCTTTCCTTGAGCGTGGCTCTACTCAAAGTCTTCATTTCATAGGGGATTTAGTGTGACGACCTTCCCAGGAGGTCGGAGAGTGGAGTGTGAGGTTTCTGGGCTAAGTGGAGTGCCTAGAGACGTCTAGGCTGAGCTATGGGGGTGAATTCTGGGTGCCTCCGCCTTGATTGCTTTCTTTCTGAGGCGGCATTATCAGGGGCGTGTGCGGGGTCCTCCGGGATTCCAGTCTTTGCTACCCTACCCATCTCCAACCTTCCCACGTGGGGTAGGGGACACAAGAGGGTTTGGGTATGTGTTGGGCTGGGGGTTTCGTGTTTCGGCCTAGATTGTGCAGCAGTTTCTCTTGGGGAATTGAAACTCTAATGCATTTGAAGTCTCACTGCAGTAGCTCTGAACCCTTAGGTGTAGCCTGCACAGGCTATATTCACCCCGACTTCCAGAGATGACTTCTACCCAGCCTCCTCCTCCATGAGCGGAGATTTCCCTTTCTCCTGGATGGCTTCAGGAAGGCACATGTGGGGTCTCTGGTTTCACCCGCAGGAGCTCTTGGATTCCAGACTGAGGGCCTTGAAGAAGGAACTGGAGGACTATGAGGTGTTCCGGTCTACAGAAGAGAAGGAGAGCAAAGAGCTCCTGGTGAGTCCCGTTGTGGGATAATACAGGGCTGCCTACCACCAGGACTCAGGGTGCATGTGTGGTGTTGGAGTGTATGCTTATGAATTTCAGAAAGATAACAGATTGCATATTACATAGGTTGACTGTATAATTTACCTTACAAACCAGAGCTTTTGAAAGTGAAAGGGAGTGCTACAAAATTGTCATAGAAGAGCCAGCCTGAACTGGAACTTCCCCAGTGAATTAGGATGTACAGTCACTCTAATTTACATGATATGCCAATTAGGGCCTGTGGGAGGGTAATTGAACACATTAATATTTCTTCAGAGAAACATATAAATATTCATATGAAGAATGTTAGTTCAACTGTCACATATTAGTTCAAGTCATGTTTTGCCACAAAAAGAGTAGTGAAACGTTTTTCCATTTTCAGAATTTTTATTATTATTATTATTATGAAATGGAGCCTAAGAGAGAAGGGGTTCTGGGATTATCAGAACTGTTCTGGACACTGACATAAGACAGGAGGTTTGGGGACTTGGGTATTGTGCAACTCAGGGTACTCAGCACCTCTCCATCTCCCAATTAGGATGAAATTTTATTTTTCATAGAGTAGAACAGGAAAGTGGAGTGGGGTACATTTTGGTTAAGGTGAGTCACTGACTATCATTTTCACCTTGAAATTTCAAGCTCAATAAGTAGGTATTGAAATAATTAAAGGATCTACCAGGGCCTGTAAATTATGGTGCTGGAAATTTGGAAGGAGAGGGTCTTTTTATCCTCAAGGTCAGGAGAGATGGAAGAAGACCCTCAAATTCATATAGCCTAAGGTCCTCTCCTGACCCTTAACTGCATCTGTTATACCTTCTTCTGTTGTGCATACCAGACCTTCACAACTGATCATTTACTTCCCTCTGTAAGGAAGAACTCACCTTTCCAGATCTTCATCCCACCCTATTCTGCTGAAAAAAAAAAAAAAAAAAGGAGTGAGCATGTAGATCTTCAGCACTGTTTTACACCCATGATCCAGAGAGCATCCCCACAGTGTGGGCATTTTTTCAGTCTCACACCCAGCTGCCCATGACATTACTTAGTACACTTTCCATTTCTGTCCTCTCCCAACAATCCATCTACCTCCACTTCTGATTTACACATTTATTATCGTTATAAAACACCTGATTAAAGGAATAAAGAAATAGTGTACAACTATTGCTGCATGATTAAAAGGATAATGAGAACTTTTTTTTTTTTTTTTCCAATTCTGGGGATGAAACAAAGGGCCTTCTACATACTTGAGAAGTATCACTGAACTACACCCCAGCCCTGAGAATGAATAATTTGAGAATTCCCTTATCCCAGGGACATTTGATAATCTGGAATTTTATATATATATATATATATATATATATATATATATATATACATACACACACACACACACACACACACACATATACACATACATACACATATACATACATACACACACACACATACTTGTCAGTACTTGGAGATGGGTTACAGCAGAATTTAGTGGTAGAGGTCAGAGGTGCCTTTAAACATCCTATAATACATAGGACATGGGCTGGGGGTGTAACTCAGTGAGTAGATTGTCTGCCTAACAGGCCCAAGGCCTTAGGTTCCATTCCCAGCATTGGAGGAAAAAAAAACAACCACCACAGAATGTACAGTACAATCCTAACATCAAAAAATAATCCCAAATCTAGCCCCAAATGTCAATATTGCCAAGGTTGGGAAATCCTGATGTGCAGTTCTTAGCCTGTTTTCTGATATTATAACACAATACTATAGACTGGATAATTTATAAAAAATAGAGGCTTTTTAAACTCCCAATTCTGGAGGCTGGGAAGTCCAAGAGCATGGTATTAGAATTCACATTGCATCTAGTAAGAGCCCTCTTGCTGCATGGCAGTATGAAAGATGGTACCACATAATGAGACAGAACAAGAGTGCTATCTCAGTTCTCTCTTCCTACCCTTATGAATTAATCTAATACCTCCAAAGGTCCTTCTTCCAAATACCACAGCATATGAATTTGGAGACTAAGTTTCCAACACAAGAAATTTTGGTAGACACATTCAAAACCAAGAGTATTTTGGTAAACACTTTAACTTGTGTTATTTCCTTGGGAGGCTGGGGAGGCTGAGGAGGCTGAGGCAGGAGGATCAAAGATAGCCTCAGCAACTTAGTGAGACCCTGTCTCTAAATAAAATGTTTAAAAGGGCTGGGAATGTGGCTCATTGATTAAGCACCCCTGGGTTCAATCCCAGGAACCAAAAGAGAAAAAAAAAAGGTGGTTTTTAAAAAGAAGTAAAATGAAGAGTGAATGTTTGAAATGTTTGGGAGTGATAAAATAAATGGGGAAGGAAACACAACCTCAAGTTAATACTTATGGTGGCCCCAACAGGCATTTTAATCTTCTCAAATGAAAAAGCTGTAGCTTGAGGTCGTTCTGGAGCAGGAGTTTGAAGTTGCCCTACTTAGGGATAAAGCCCAGGTTCACAAGAGACATCTGGGCAATTCTGTGGCAGTGTAAGAAAAGAGCATATGTTGAGGCTGCAGCTTGCAGAGAGTTGGGATATTTAAACTAGAGAATGTGTACAACCTGTGTTTGTGGGTTTGCTTCTGATCCCCAAAGCAGTGAGGAAGATGGAACCCTTCCCTGTGGAATGACTCAGAGGCTCCTGTCCCAAGCTTATGTCTCAGTGCTCAATGCCCAAGTCTTTCTGACCACTGTGACCTATCCTGTCTCCCGATCCCTGTCCCACTCACCAACTCCTCCTTCTGGGACAGAAGCAGATGACTGCTGAGAGAGAGAAGGTAGGAGCAGAGTTCCAGGCACTTCGGGCCTTCCTGGTGGAGCAAGAGGGCCGGCTCCTGAGCCGCCTAGAGGAACTGTCCAGGGAAGTAACACAGAAGCAGAATGAGAACCTGGCCCAGTTAGGAGGTGAGATCGCTCAACTCTCCAAGCTCAGCAGCCAAATCCAGGAGACAGCTCAAAAGCCTGACCTTGACTTCCTCCAGGTGAGTCTGGAACTGAGGGTAGAGAACAGTTAGATCCTATTAGTTTAGTAGAATCACGTATTCTGGAGCCAAAAGGGACTGAAACAAGGTGCCCTGATGCCCTGATTCTTCTGGAGTTAGAAATCTAAAGGGTTGTGATTTAAACACACAAACAAAAAATTCTTTTTCAGTGCTGGGGATCAAACCTAGCGTCTCATGCATGTTAGGCAAGTGCATCCCCAGCCCCTTAAAAATTTCTTGACTCTGAGCTACAATAATATAGCTTACATTGTGTTCCAGTATTCACATATTTGAAACAAAAGTCTTAGAAAATTATATTTATCTTTACTGCCTATAATAAACCCTGATGGTTTTATTCTATTTTCTTTCTTTTATTTATTTATTTTTTCCTTAGAAAATAGGTATAATCTATTAGATAAATTCACAAACTAAAAATGGGTCAAGAACAGTCAGGTAAAAGACATTGGTCTGAGTGACCTGCTATTGCATAAAGGGCTGTGACTCATCTAAGGTGGTTTCAGGGCAAAAGCAAACACTGGGTCTCACGAGATGACTCCATTTGTGATTCTATAACAGAGAAAACCTTTGAAGAGTGTGGTAAGGTCCATCAAGTTGAGGAGACACTCAACAGCCATCCATAACTGGCTAGTTGCCTCCTGGTATTCAATGCAGTAGTGCATGGTATACCTGCTATTGTTTATTTCCTTGGAGGCAGAGTAAGGGTCAAGTTTTGTTTTCTTAGAAGTGAGTGGAGGTTACCTGATGCTAATTTGGTTTTCTTCCATTTTTCCTTCCAGGAATTTAAAAACACACTAAGCAAGTGAGTGAATCTAACAGTTTCTTGGGTTTTTCTAAATTCATTTCCACTGAACCCTCTCTCTTTATCCTCCACCTCCTGCTTCATCTCTCACATCCTGATCCCCAGCCCCCACTTCCTTGCCTTACCTGGGTACTTTTTTTTTTTTTTTGGTGGTGATGGGGATTGAACCCAGGGCCTTGTGCATGTGAAAAAGAGGAGGGAGAGGCAGGGGCCCCAATATCTCCTTCAAAGGCATGCCCCCAATAACCTAACTTTCTTCTATTTGTTCCCACCTCCTAAAGGTTCCACCACCTTCCAAAAGTGCCACTGGCTGGCAATCAAGCCTTCAATATGTGGGCCTTTAGGGAACACTTATCCAAGCTATATAGCACCATCCTAATTGTCATAGCCCATTAGGAGTGGGATGATGTTCTTGGGCCTTCAAGGTTCCTGTCCTATAGGTGCAGCAATGTGCCTGGCCCCAAGCCAACAACAGTCTCTTCTGAGATGAAGAATAAAGTCTGGAAAGTTTCCCTCAAGACCTTTGTCTTGAAAGGACTACTGAAGAAGTTCAAAGGTAGGGCTTGGCCATGCAACATGGGTGCAGTAGTGTGTTTCTGATACTTTAGGGATACTAAGCTCTGCCTTTTTGGAATTTATGTGAAAAAATGGAGCTGGGTTGTGTCAAGACCAGATTAGTATGGGAAGACAATGGTGGCAAATCTATTTAGGATTTCCCCTAAATAGTGGCAGGTGGCTTCTTGTGGGACATACAGCCTGGAGGTGTATTGAAGGTGAAAAAAAGGTTGAGGAGAGAGAACTCAACTCAGATCAGTTCTGGGCAAAAGAGGGGAGAGTTGAGAAGAGGTGGAGCTAAAATGCTTAGAAGTCTGAAACCTATCCTGTCCCAGTCTCCCAAGCTTGCTGTGCCTGCACATCAGTTCTTGGCCTCCAGAGTATCTGGGGAATGAGTGAATCAGATGGGAATAAATGTTTGAAAAGAAGGTATCCTTGTCAGTTTCCTAGGTTGTTCATACATGCTCTGTTTTGTCTCTTTTTCTCAGAGGCTCTTCGGGAAGAACTGGAGAAAGAAGAAAAAGGTATGGATTGCGGTTGTGACAGTACAGATTATTTGGTCATATAAAGAACCCATTTGCTTATCTCTCTGGTCTTTGCACACAGTTGATTCCTTATATCCATGGACCTTAGTGGCTTTCCTGTTTATCATTTATTTCCTCACTGTTGCAGAAAGAAAGCTACAGGAGGGCAGGGATGCTCAGATATCCTATAGTCTGTGGTATGCCAAGGACCTAAACAGTGCCTGAAATATAATCATGCTTACAACAAGGGAACATACTTTAACTTTTTATTATGGAAAATTAAAAACATATTCAAAAGTACAGAGAGGAGTGTATCAAATGTTATGGATCCATAATACACTTTCAACAATTATTTCTCATAAACTCTCCACTGCTTCCCCCTGGATAATTTTAAAGCAAATCACAGGTAACAAATAATTTCCATAAACAGTAAAGATAGGATGAAAAGAGATTGGCTTTTATCCCTAACAAATGCAAAGGTCCTCTCCTGACCCTTAACTGCATCTGTTATACCTTCTTCTGTTGTGCATACCAGACCTTCACAACATCACTACATCTAAAAATTAATGATTCTTTCTAATAACTAATGTTCTAATTTCCCCAATTGACTTTTAAGTTAATTGGGATCCAAATCTGTCAAATAAATTGCATTTATTTGATTTAAATAATTACGTATTGAATGAAAAAAAAGCAAAATACCTGGGAGGGAAAAGAGTGAAGGATTGATTGGACATTGGCACTGTATGCTGGAAAAATTGCTCAAGGAAGAGGAGACAGGTTTGTAGAAGGGCTGTACTAAAGGAACCAGTATGCAGGATACTCTTCCTTGTCTCCGCCCTTCAGTGGAGCTCACCTTGGACCCCGACACTGCCAATCCTCGCCTCATCCTCTCTCTGGATCTTAAGAGTGTGCGCCTTGGACTGCGGGCTCAGGACCTGCCCAGCCACCCCAACCGTTTTGATACCAACACCCGTGTTCTGGCATCCTGCGGTTTCTCCTCCGGGAGGCATCACTGGGAGGTGGAAGTAGGCTCCACCGACGGCTGGGCCTTCGGTGTGGCCCGTGAGAGCTTGCGTCGAAAGGGCCTCACGCCCTTCACCCCTGAGGAGGGCGTCTGGGCACTGCAGCTCAACGGTGGACAGTATTGGGCTGTTACGAGTCCCGAGCGGACGCCCCTCAGCTGTGGACACCTCTCGCGTGTGCGGGTAGCCCTGGACTTGGAGGTGGGGGCTGTGTCCTTCTATGCTGTGGAGGACATGCGCCACCTCTACACTTTCCGCGTCAACTTCCAGGAGCGTGTGTTTCCTCTATTCTCTGTCTGTTCAACTGGCACCTTCTTGCGAATCTGGCCTTGAGGAGCATTGCCCTGCCTCCTCTCTTGCTCAGTCTGGGGCTTGCCCTCCACCCTCCCGCTCCAGTGAGCCCAAGAGAGGCTGTGGCAGAGCACAACACTGGGGGGCATGAAGAGTGATTGAGGAAAAGGTTCTGTAGTAAACCAGGAAGGGAAGAAATGCCTTGGATCTTCGGGACTTGTTCCCTCTCTGTTGATGGGTATATGGTTTGGGCCTGAACTGTGAAATGGGGATGCCAGTGAGGACAAAAGCCTTACTCTTGACAGGGATGCTTCATATCACATGGGGCTTACTGCTCTGATCTAGAAGGGCCTCTGGTTCCGTGGAACGATTCAAACTCTTTAACTTTTTATTATGGAAAATTAAAAACATATTCAAAAGTACAAAGAGGAGTGTATCATCATATACTTTCAGCAATTATTTGTCATAAACAAAGTGGACAGGTTTGGCCCTGGGTCAGCCATGTTCATTATTATAGTAGCAGCTCTGCTTTTTGAGGTCATGAGTCCTATGAATCCCCCTGACCTGACAGGATTGTCTACTCAGCGAGGAGTATTATACTCCCATACATGAACTGGAACAAGACAATTAACCCATGTATGAAGGAAAAAGCCAGGACAACAGCCTACACGCATTGCTACTCTCCAACTCCCCTTAACCTGATAATGCAGAGTGATATGTGCATCCTTGATCACAGTGGCTGTGTTCTCACAGATACCTAACCTCCCATTTTCCAATGTACTCAAGTACTCATGTCCACTGTACTCATGTTCACTGCTACTCCGTACGGTCTCCTTTGGATAAGGAGAGCAAGGATTCTGGAATTTTGAAACACAAGTTGACACTAAGAATTTTAAGATGCAACTAGCACCAGCATAGAAATACACATAGCACCAATATTATCCTGACCACACTTTCTGGAACTTGCCAAATATATGCAACAGCAGATCATTCTGGTACCATAGCCTGCTCATAGCCTGCTCAGTCTGTGCCCTGGGAGAGTGTTCAGAAGACCAGCCTTGTTATCCTGTTGGCTGGATGTTCCCAGTTTTTGAATGGCTGGGCTTCTGGAAGGGTGTTTGTTGAGTGTTCCCTGCTTAGTGCTCCTATGGGAAGGGGAATAGGGACATGGAAATATAGATTGTGAGCTCATCTCTAGGAGTGGCTTGACTCTTTCTTGAGTTCCCTGGTCTAATTATGGGAGGACAAGTATGAGCAAGGGTTTCTGTTAGAGTGAGTTAGCTTAAGTATAGAGGAGTGTAAGTACACGCATTTGTTGTACCTCAGATTTGAGGTGAAGAACATTTATATTTTGAAGAGGGCATTTATGAGCAGGTACATAGCCTTTAGGTGTTACAGACTTAGATCAATTTGGTCATAACTTATGATTCGTTGTTGTTGGTTCCTGTGGGGGCAGGCAAGACACTGTCCTAGAGGCAGACCCAGTGGACAGAACAAGATAATCAGAATCCTGCATCTTGGGGACAAGACCATTTAAGAGTTTAGCCTATAGCAGAACCCAGAGGGTGAATCCAATATATGGAGAATAGCTCTAGAACATAGTAGCTATTTTATGTATTTGAATGCCTTTGACTTCCACAAGGAAAACCCATTTCTAATGTTCAATTTCTAATTAAGTCACCTGATGTCCTTAAGCCCTAATGTTATCTGGGCTCATATGGCTCTTTCTTTTTTCTCTCCTTTTGCATTACCTTGAATTGAATCCAGAGTGCTCTACCACAGAGCTACATTCCTAGCCCTTTTTATTTTTTCTTTTGAGATAGGGTCTTGTTGCCAAGGCTGGTCTCACACTTGTGATCTTCCTGCTTCAGCTTCCTGAGTTGTTGAGATTACAGATGTGTGCCACTACACCCCACTTATGTGGCTTTCTGATTATTACAGTTCCCTTTGTATCTTTTAACAACTGCTCTGAGAATCACAACACATTGCAGGCTACAGAAGGTGGAATATTTGATGGAAGTACCATGTGTACATGTGAGGCCAGGTCTGAGGGCTCTGAGAATAGCTGTTTGCGTATATATTTTCAGTTTTTGTGTTTGTGACTGTGACTGTTTTGTCTACCAGAATGTGTGCTTGCAGAATAACTACAGATATCTATATATTGGAAGAAATATATACAGTTACTGTAACAATCACATTTGGAGGGGAAGAAATGTTTTTTCTTGGACACCAGGGCAGCTTGGTAGCTTGGATGATATAATTCTGGTATTTATACCCCCTGTTATCGATGAGGAGTTCTGCCCCCTCACACGTTGAAGTTTGAACATTGGAGAAACACACGGAGGCAAGCTTATAAAGCAGGGTTTATTTAAAAGGGGTAACATAGACTTCTCCTAGGAGGGAGAAGGGGGCCATAACTGGTATCCTGGTATCCCCAGAAGTGAGGTGTTCTGCCCTTTTTTATATGTCCTAGGCTTCCTTTGCTCTTCTGTCCTCTTCCCCTTTCTTTCTCCTTCCTGTATCTGTGACTAGACCCAGGAATGCTCTTGGGATAGCCAAAAGGTGGGAAACAGGTGGGCTGAAGGGGGAAGGGCAGTATGGTACAGCCCAGGACACATTAATTGACAACTTTATAGCTCCCTGTAGGGAGGGTCAATTCCTGGGACAGGTTACCTTAGCAACAGGTTGGAGCAGGGATAGGTTCTTGACGGGTGGAGGAAGGGCTCTGAAGGAATTAATATTTCAATCCCTCAGGGGATAGTCTCCAATTTCCCGGGACTCCCTCAAAATTGGCCTCCTTGATCCAACCTGACTCGATTTACCTATCTATACTGACTGCGTAATTCTGGCTTCAGTATGAGAGTATGTTGTGCATTTCCTATTTCTATCCTTTGTGCATCATAAGATCTCTGGGTCTCTGAGACCAAAAACTGGCCTAATAAGCGTCTTAGCCTATCTGGATAGTTTCAGATCCACCAAGACTCTGCCACCAGATCCTCATAGGGGCAACATTCAGAAGGATATCCAGGGACCTACTTCTGGTCTGACCACCAGTGACACAAGTCACCTGGTTTTGCAGGAAGGTAGTGGAGCCTGGGCCACCAGAACGAGCTCTATAACCTACAGTCACTACTTTGTCCTTTCCCAGACGAGACCTCCTGTGGTTCAGAGTCAAAGGATGCCCCAAGAGTTGTCTTTTCCTAATTCTTCTCAAAGTGAGGTGGGGGTTTGGGACTCCAGGCCTTGGCCCTGTCTTTATCTTGGCACCTTGGAACACCAAGACTTTCTGATTCCCTCACTATTCACTCTCAGCCTAATTTTCCTCTGCTCCTCATTATCCAGCCCACTCCAGGTGGGTCACCTTAACAGTTCTGACCTAGATTCTCTGCAGAACAGGCCTATGCACACTTTTCCTACTTGTGACTTTGCTGGACCACTGTCATCTTACAACAAGCCAGACATGCTCCTTCACTCTTGTTTGCGTTTGCTCTGCCATAGGCCCCAGCTCTTTACAGCTCCGCCCATTGGAGAAACCGCCCTCGCCCGCGCGCATAGTTGGTCCTCTCTTCCCAGGGCTGTCTCAGGAACTGTGGCCGTCTGGCTTTCCAGACACCTACTGACGCCGAAGTAGAAAGGCTGCTACTACTGAGCCAAATATCATTGGCCCTGTTTTAGTGTTTCATTTCTTAATACAGTGATCTGCTATTGCGACTGCGCAGCGGCGGTGATGATGGTGTCAATTGCTCGTGCGCAGAGGTGAGAGCTGCGGCTGGCTCCATAGCTCAGGGGTTAGAGCACTGGTCTTGTAAACCAGGGGTCGCGAGTTCAAATCTCGCTGGGGCCTAAGAAGACAGTTTTACCTTCCTTATAAGAAACTTATATTTTCGCCCTCGCTGTGAGGCAACAAACTGGTACAATTACTTCCTCTTTGCCTCTCAGTACCCTCAATCCAGCAGCCCTCCTTATTGTCACCTTTTTCTTGAAAAGTCAGATCCACTGCGGACTCCACTATAATAGGTTCCTCTGTTCCCGCACTTTTCACCCTCGGACACCCCCTAGCTTGTGTGTGTGAGAGAGCTCTTGAGAGTTCATTGTAGGTCTTTCCATATCCTTCTGTCGCCCTACTCCGTCCAGGGGCTTGCCCTCGTCTCTCATCCTTTCGTCTTTGCTAGGTCGGACCTCCTCTCGTTTTCCGGAGTGGAGACGACTCCCCCTTCCCTATTTGGCTCCTCTTCCCTACCAAGCATTTGTCTTCCTCCACGCGCACTGGACGTTAAATCTGCTGCTCTGCTTGCTCAGTCCTTTCTGCTTTCGTGTTGTAGACATTTGCTTCTCTGTGAAATCACTGTATATAAAGAAAAGTGCAAACAAACAGTTCACATTCCTGACACCCGAATCCAAAGACAATCACTTTGTCTTATTTGCGTCCAGCTTTTTTTAAACTAAAAAATTTTATACATCTGAAGAATGCTGACCTTTTGAATTTTGTTGATTTATGTTATTGACGGAAATGAAGAGTACCAAATGAGCCTAAAATGTGTCTCGGGAAACCCAACTGCGCTGGCGACGTCAGGTCCTGCCACTCCTACTCCCAGATCGCAGGCATCCTCTCTCCAACCAGAAGAGCGAGACGCCACCAGTGGCTGAGGCTCAGGGTTAGAAAACAGAATCCCAGCTCAGAGCACCAGAACAGAGAAAACTATTAGCAGACGTCTGGGTAGTGATTGGAGTAGCGGGAAGGGAAAGAACCAGGTGCGTGAAGAAGGGAGCAGGTTTCGGAGATCTGTTGACAGGAAGCACACTCTTTCCTCCTGCAGCCAAGCCAGCTCCTATTCAAAGAGCCAAGATTTGGGGTCAAGACTCATAACACGCTCGGGATAGGCCAGGAGCCCGCAAGCACGTTTAGGAACTTATGGCTTCGGGCCTTGGACTCTTTAACCCGAAGGACTCGTACCACAGAAAGGTCGCCTTATTGGAGAAGCTGGATTGCAGGAGCCAATAGAGAGCTATTCGGGAGCTTAAATAAAGCCATCCTCTGAAATAAAACTAAATATCGAGGGAGGCGTGTGTTGGCAGGTTGTTGAACTAACTGGTGAATGAATCTCAGGCCTTCATTTCAGAGGTACTCAGAGTCTGGTCGTGACCCACTGTCCAACCAAGGGCGACTGAATACACCAAGTCATCTGTTTCAGTCGGACCTAGTCCAGGCGGGGTACTCAGAATACACAGGCTCACGCCCCTGTCCTTTTGGTATTGAGAGCGTATGGGCAGAAACTTGGAAGGAGGAAGGGGTAGCTAGTGTGGAACATTACTTGTAGGTGGGTCAGTTCACTTGGGAAATTCACGGTGGGAAGAGTTGAAGGCCAAGGACAGAACCCAAAGGGAATCCACATGCAGAGAGCCCTGTGTGGAAGAGGTAAGGTGCGAGTGAAGC